AATGTGGTTCAGAGAGGGGCTTGCCATCGCCTCCCTTCTGACATCAGATTCCTCAATTTTCCTCCCTAACCAATATCCTGAACCCACTGAATAGTTCCCATTGCGATTGTGTACCCATTCGTAACTATCATCGCTTCCAAAGGCTGGTTTAGTCTTCAAAATAATCTCCACATCATGGGGTACAAAATGTTCTTGCAACCTTGATGATGGTGTGGTGACTTGATGTGTGGTGTCGAGGGTTGTCAAGTTTTACCCTAATTGAAATCAATAGCCGCAAGTGCACAGCTGATCGATTGTAGTACTTAGGGATCGAATCCACAGGGAAGGAGGATCTTTTCCTGCAAAAAGCCTTTGTATAAAGTAAGGAAGTCTAGAACCAAAACGGTTTTGTAGGGGTTTGGTGGTATGTTTAAAATGTAAAAACGAAATATTAAAAGAGAATACGGGAATTAAATGGCGTAATAACTAAACTTAACGAAAATAACTAAAAATGCGAAAAACGGATATTCTAATTGCTTAAATGAAAATGAACTAAAAAGGAAAGGCAATATTGAACTAAAGCTTGAAAGAAAATCGGTGTAATCAATGGAAAAGAAAACGTTGGGGTTCAGGGAAGTTTTCTCATGGGTACGAACGATTCAAAACATTGCTAGAGAGTAAATTGGTAAGATCTTAGCTTAAACTTTTCGAACTGGAGTCATGGACGTATGAATACGCCACTGTCGTGATCATAGACAACTATCTCTCTCAACCCTGACCAGTAGGTTTCCACTCTGGCCCTGGAAGAGAATAAATGCATTATGTTTAAGACTCGTCCTAATTCACAAATCGCCCATAAGTAGGTTTCCACTCCTATGTTTGTTTTGCTCTCCCAAACTAGATCTGATACCTGGTGAACACTTTCGTGTCACCAAGCATCTGGATCAGATTGTAGTTCATGACGCTACTCTCATGCAGTAAAAACGAATTCAGAAGAAAAAGTTCTAAGATTCGGCTCAAAAGCTCATGGAATCCTCATCGAACATATAAATCCCCATCGAAAATCCCTTAATCCCAACAATAAAACTACTCAGACATAATTAACGAAATCAAAGACATAATATTAAGAAGTAGAATAGAAACCGAAATTGAAAAAGAAAGAACAAGGGTTTAAGAGAACAAATCTCTCTCTCCCTAAAAGCTAAAGCAAAAACAATAAGAATATGAAGTAAATATTTCGGTTCTCTATGGTGTCTTTCGTTTAGGGTTCCTAAGACATGTATTTATAGTGCTCAAGACCTCTCTGGACGTCACTTAGGGTTTCTCCAAATGTGGGCTTCAGAAATGGGCTTTTTGGGCTCGGAGGATGATGGCCGCGGTCGGAAGTGCTCTGACCGCGGGGAATGAGTGTTTGCCGCGGTCGGGATGCTCCTGACCACGGGAAATTGCTTGTTGGCCGCGGGTGGAAGTGCTTGCCGGCTGGTTTACGAGACATCTTGCTCTTCGCGTATCTTTTGATTGAACCGTTGGATTACCAAGCTGTAAAGTATACTGGAAAGCTGATACTTCCATCTTTAAGGTCTCCAAATTTGAGCTGGATCAGACGGTGAGAAGGCCTTCAATCAGGGGTGAACTTCTGACGGTTTGACTCTGAGCTGAAATCTGGTCTTCTATCCATTTTGTTAAGCTTTTCCCTAAGTTACCTGAAAAGAGTTTTGGAACTACAAATACTAGAAAAACGTGATAAAAGTACTTAAAAGCAATTAAAAACATAGAAAAAGTATTTCAAAACGATCCATAAAAGTGGTCAAAATACGGTGTTATCAAACCTGCCTCTATCCCATGTCTTCGTTTGAGGATCTATCAACTCCTTGACCTTCATGTTTAAGTTGAAGAACAGATTCCTCCGAAAAGGGGCTCTTGGTCTTTTATCAAAGATCCATGGATCTAGCCATACATGAACCCTCTCCCCTGATCCGATGGCCTGTTTTAAACCTTTTTGAAGTAGTTCGCGGCCATGTAAGATGCTTCTCCACGCATACGAGGGACGGTGACCAAGTCTCGCCTTCAAGATGTCTGTGTGAGGGAAGTATCGACTTTTAAGCACCTGAGCACATAAACTATCAGGGAACATCAAAACCCTCCATACTTGTTTTGCAAGTAACGCCTGATTGAATAGCTCAATATTTCGAAATCCCATTCCACCCAGATCTTTTTTCTAAGCACATCTTTTCCCAAGAAACCCAATGGATTTTCTTCTGTCCTTCCTGAGCATTCCACCAAAATTGCGCCATCGCACTCCTGAGATTTGCACATCTTGTTTTCGGAAGTTTGAAAACAGACATTGCAAAGATTGGCATTGCCATGGCTATCGACTTTAATAGAATTTCTTTCCCCGCTTGCGATAGGAATCGATCATACCAGCCATGAAATCGAGCCTTCATTTTCTCTTGGATGTATTGAAGCATTTCGATTTTAGAACCACTAAAACACTCCGGAAGTCCAAGGTATTTCCCAGCACCACCTTCATTCACAATCCCCAGCTTTTCCTGAATACTTCCTCGGACATCAGCATGAACATGAGCTCCAAAAGTGATTGAGGATTTGTTAAAATTGATCTTTTGTCCCGACATTTTCTCATACTGCTGGAGAACATCGTATATCACTGCACACTCCTCATCACTTGCTCGACAAAGAATTAAACAATCATCTGCAAACAGCAAGTGATTCACCGCTGGTCCATTCTCTGAGAACTTTATCCCATGGATTCTTCCTTCAGCTTCAGCTCGTCTTAATAGATGAGATAATCCCTTGGTGCACAGGTCAAAAAGAAAAGGACTCAGCGGATCACCTTGCCGTAGGCCTCTCTCCGGCTTGATCATTCCATGGGGTTCACCATTTATCAAGACAGTGTAAGTCACCGTTGATACACACGTCATAATCCATTTAACAACTTTCTCATGAAAGCTCAGTGCATTCAGCAGAGTTTCTAAATACCTCCATTCAATCCGATCATAAGCCTTTGACATATCTGTTTTAATAGCCATGTCTTCTTTTGAAATTCTCGGGTGAGTTCTCAGGCCATGTACAAGCTCATGCGCGATAATGATGTTGTCGGAGATAAGCCTATCCGATACAAAAGCCGATTGAGTCGGAGAGACAATGTCATTTAGCCACGGCTTGATTCTTGCCACTAGAACCTTTGAAACGATTTTGTACAGGACCGTACAGAGGCTTATAGGTCTAAGGTCTGTCATCAGCGATGGCTTATTTACCTTCGGAATCAAGCAGATCTGTGTATAATTCCATTCCGTCGGTAGAATACCAGTCTTGAAAAAACCTTGCACCTCCTTAGTCACACTTTCCCCTAAGATATCCCAATATGTCTGAAAAAATAGTCCATTCATGCCATCACCTCCAGGCGCACTAGAAGCTCTGATCGAGAAAACGGCTTCACGAATTTCCTTAGCAGTTACTTCTCTAATCATCTGGTTGTTCATCTGATCATTGACTTTCGCTTGGAAATCATCAAAAAGGTTTTCCAGTTCACCCTCTCTCGTCGAAGAGAACAGGTCTCTAAAATACTGCCCGCAACATCTCCCATCGAAGCCACTGCCGTGACTTCTCTGCCTTGGTTATCGATAAGCTTCTCCAAATTGTTTTGTGACCTCTGAGCTTTAACCGAGGCATGAAAGAAACTTGTATTCTTATCACCATCCAGTAACCATTTCTCTTTGCTTTTTTGGCGCAAAAAAACCTCCTCCTCTCGAAACCCTTTGGCAATATCCATCTTCAGTTGTCTAATATGCTCAAATCTGGGATTCATAGACGCGAGTTCAGCCTCCAAATCAACCCGTAGCTTCTGTATTCGCTCCATAGAGTTGTGTTTATTCTCTCTCTTCCATTTGCCTAAGGCTTTCCTACACTTCCCAATTCTGTCCATTAGAGAGATAGGAGCAGAGGAATGATCTCCGGTCCAAGCTTCCTTTATGGTCTCCTTAACCTGAGGTTTTCCGATCATTCTTTTATCAAACCGAAAGGTTCCTCTTCCCACAGTTGGTCTATTCATCAGTTGAACCAAAACAGGACTGTGGTCGGAACCCAATTTTTCCAGGAAAATCTGATTGGCAATCGGGAAGAGTGACATCCACGCCTTATTCCCAAAACATTTATCCAGCTTGCACTGGATCCAGTGAGTGTTTCTGGTACCTGCCCACGTAAATCCATTACCACAACTCGGAAGCTCTGTCATATCACAAGTCCTCAACATCTCAGCAAAATCCTGAAACGATGCATCACTCCTCTTGGGGCCCCCGAGCTTCTCACCATTGTGTAAGATTGCATTGAAATCTCCCATCATACACCAACTCCTATGTCTCTGAGCTCCGATCCTCATTAGTTTTTCCCACACCCGAGTTCGACCTTTGACCACTGGATCATCATATACGAAAGACACATAAAACTTGAAAGAACCCATATGTACATTAACGTCGATGAGACTTTTGTCAGCGAAATCCACATCAACTGTGACACCGTTTTTCCATAACAAAGCTAAACCACCACTCCATCCAATAGGATCAACCGTGTAGATCCTGTCATACCCCAACCAAACTTGTAAATCCACCAAAGCATTTCTACAACCCTTTGTCTCCATCAAAAACAAGACATCAGGAAAATGGTTTTGACGCATTTCCTTTAGTCTGGGAATTGTCAGATCTTGTGCCCGACCCAAGCCCTGACAATTCCAGCTCATTATACTCATTGGGGATTCGGCAGTCCCTCATGCGGGACCGCCTCATTCTTAGTACGCCTAACGATTTTGGTTGACTCCACCTTCCTTTCCTCTGCCTTCCTCTTTTGTGGTGATACTCCCACTGATACACCCTCGGTAACAACTCCTCTTCCTCCAGTCTTCCCTTTTGAGGTCCTTTTGCACTTTCTTTTTGTCAGAGTTAGCTTCCTTCGATGCTTAGTGGCTATAACTGTCTTTCCTGACGAACTTGCTTCAGAGGATCCTATCTTTAATCCCGTGGACAAAGACCTGAAAACAGAGCCCTCTGATTCATAGTTTGCTGCGGCTCTCTCTCTGACGCAATACCATCAATCAATGGCATTCTTCTCATAGCTAAACCCACATTAATCGCAGCACCCATCAACTTTCCTCCACTGCAGTCACTAGGCTCCCGCTTACAATCATTCCTATCCTCGCTGTAATGGAATATAGGACCCTTTCCTTTATCGATATCTGTGGTGACTTGTAGGGGCGCTTCAAGTCTTAAAATCAAGTTTTGATTTCTTCGATCACCTTTCAGATCCAAGATGGACTTCTTAACACGTTCCTCTCTTACTTTCCTTTCAGGTCCTTCTTCAGCCAACAGATATGTTCTCATTTCATGTAAAACCTCTGGGTTGATCCGAGTCCTGCCTGTCAATGGATCGATCCCCACCTGATCCTCGGATAGTACTCCAAAAAGAGGGTCATTATCCTTCAGCACCGGCTCCTGAATATTTTTTGCCTCTAAGATGCTCTGTCTTTGAGCTGCAGCCTTGTCCATACGCAACTTGATTAAGATGGGACATTTGTCCTTCTCGTGTGTTAGCCTTTGACAGTGGTAGCATCTTTTTTGAATCCTCTCAAAGTCATACCACACAGTTGTTGTCTCCCCATTTGGTAGTACCACAGCTTTTGATCTTCTCACCGGTTTAGAGACATCAAAATTTACCTTAACCCTCACGTAATCTTTACTTTGTGGTTTATCAGGATCAAAGGCCACCTCCTTTACCTCTCCGATTAGATCCCCCAGATCATAGATAGCCGCCTCCGTATAGTAGTTAACCGGAATACTCCGGATCTGAACCCACACCGGCATGAACTGCAAGTAATCTTCCGGAGGATTTTCCATCCATTTGTCGATCACTATCGACCATTCATTGAAAGTCCAAACTCTCTTCCTCATCACCTCTTCTAGATCGTGTTCATATTTGAAGATGAACTGAAACTTATCCTTTGTTAATGCCACACCTTTGACCTGTTCATACACTTGCCACTTCCTCGGCATGTCCAAAATTAAATCCGCCATATTTTGACAATCAGGATTCAACGTTCTGCCCATGATACTCATTACATTCCTTTCCCTCGAACAGTATTTCGGATCCTTTGGCATAATAAAAGGGGTATCCTCTTCTTCCTCCAGCGACAACGCCATTAGAGCCTTGTCTATGTTTACCATTGCAGAATACTCAAGCAAGCTCTCACTAATGATTTAAGAAAACTAGGGTTTATGTATTTGAAGCGGCGCTGATGAACACGACTCAAACTGTATAAACCCTAACTCACAAACACTTAGATCTGATAAAGACCTTCATTTCTTTGTTCAATCTTTACTTTCTTTAGTGTGTTTTCTGTTTAATTATTATGTTACATTTTCTTCTTTTATCTATAATGGTTTGTTTTTTTTTTTACATTTTACATATATAAACTGATAACTACTGTATTTGTGTAGAGTTTCAAATTATGTTCTGTGGTTAATTTCAATTAAAGAAGAACCTCGCATCTGAAAAAAGCGGCCCATCTAGAGCAACAAATCTTTAAGGCAGAGGAGGCATGTTCGTAAGTTGAATCAAGAACTATGTGGTTGTTTAAAAACCAAGGGTTAAGTTTTATGTGTTTTATCATCAAACATACTCCGAGATTGTTTTAGGGCAGTCGTCTTCCGTAATAGATCCGCTGCCATGTTTGTTTTTAATATTTTTCGTAAAACTGTTTTTTCCTTCATTATACTATAAATAATATTTGTTTTTTTTTATGAATGGTTCTGATCGAATATAGAACAATAAAATATGTTGAACGTCTGGATCCCTGTTATTTTTATCAGCCAAATCACAAATTATATAAATAAACTAAACTATTTAGTGATTCAAAATATCAAAACTCATATGTATAATATATAAAATATCAACTGATGTTTAAATCTCAAACTTGTTATGCTATCTGCTAAATAAATATCTCTTAAACATCTGAAAATTTTAAAAATTACACGGCATCACCGTCCATAAATGAATGTACTTCTGCTTAATTTCAACTAACTTATACACATATCTATATACATATATAATATATACATCATAAAGAAAAAATTAAGCACTATACTCTAATATATATTTTCTTAAATATTTTTAAAAAAAAATCACCCCCGCCCACCCATGGGCGGGTTAGAATCTAGTAGAAGCTTATAAGCGAAACCAATGATGTTAAAGAGGTAATTAAATATATATTTGCATAATTAATTAATTTATTCATGTTTTTCATAAACGGTTTTGGTAAAAAATCTAAAAAATATCTGAAATCCCATCTAATTGTTGTACCTAAACATTCATCAGAAATACCATCAACAAACAAAGTTAAACCTCCATTTAAAACTTAAACTCGAAAACTAGATCAAAAATCCTTAATCATCTCCACATAAATATTTAAATACTCATTTTCTTTAAATGATTTTCGTAAATATAATTATTTCCTTTTTGGTATTTTCTGAATGTTTCAAAAATAGTTGTGAAATTATTTTAAAATAGAACAGCTATAAATGATTTTTATGGGCAATTTGGACAAAAATTGACCAAAAACTAAAAAACACTAAATGGAAATTTTTGGTTTCAATTAGCACTATAAAATCAATTCTCCCAGATATGTATTGCAAAATTAGTTTTTTTATCTATTTCATAGGCATTCGGTTTTCTAGACTTTTCAAGCATTTAACAGCTTTTAAAGTTTTTTTTTTTACCAAGCATACTTTTTTATATTTTATTAAGTCTAAAGTTTCAAAAGTCATACTTTATCTTTTTTTGCTTTGGTTTCCAAAAATTACGTAGGAGAAACTTTTACAAAATCAAAGTATTTATTTTTTTCTCTCTTTTTTTTTTGCTCCAAAATTATTCAAATCTATTTGTAGATTTCTATATAGTTTATTCATAACAAAATTCAATTGATTAATTATTATCTTTTTCTGTTTTTAAGATCTATTTCTTATTGTTTGACCATATTTTTTCAGAATATCTAAAACTCTTTGTTAAATCTAGGGTAAACTAATTCTTAAAAAAAATTATTTTTTCAATTTTAAAATAATAGACAGCTTTACAGTCAAAAATTTTTAAAGTCAAAAGTCATAAATAAAAACCAACATCAAAAGCTCTTACCAAACAAGCACGATTTTGGTAAAAAATCTTAAAAAATGTCTGAAATCCTACATGATTATTATATCTAAACATTCATATGATTTGCATACTACCAAGTACCAACAAACAAAGTTATACCTCTATTTAAAACTTAAACTTGAAAACCAGAACACAAATCCTCAATCATCACCACATAAATATTATTTTAAATATTTGTTTTCTTAAAATTTTTTTTGTAAATATAGTTATTTCCTTTTTTGGTATTTTCTGAATTTTTCAAAAATTTTCAAATTTATTTAAAAATAAAACTGCCATAAATGATTTTCATGGGCAATTCAATCAAAAATTGACTAAAAACTAAAAAACATTAAAGGACTATCGATTCATATATTCTTCAGTTTTTCATTTGATGTGGTTTCTGCATTTGATTGTCAGTTATGCATGCTTCAAAAGTTGTGAACAATAGATGATTTATGAGACTATAAGGTGCTTTAGTGATGTAATCTGGAGAAGATACCAAAGACATGAAGAAACTTGTGAAGAGAACACTGATTCATTTTGAGGAGACAGAAGAAGCATAATCATCTACAAGAATCATATTCTCAGGTCACATAACATAAGTAAGCCTAGACCTGGAGTAACTTCACATGATCAAAAAACTCTTGATAAGTCAGAGGCTTTCTCTTCTTCTTCCTTCTACCGCGCAAAACAATATAATGTTGCTGATCTTCTCGCCTAACTCTCTGGAATAACCTTGTTCTGGCTGTTTGGAACTCCTTCCACTAAGTCAAACAAAAGTGAAGACAAATTTAGCAATTCGATAAACCGGTCCATGATGACTGAAATTGAATACAAATACTCATATCAGTCTCACAAAGGCTAATTAGGATTATGCATCATGATTTGAAGTGTACTCAAAATTTCATCTAACAAGTTGTGTAAGACAAAAGAGAAGTATCAGCAGCTGTCACCACCTGTCTGATCTGGCTTGCTGTCTGGTCGATTGTGTTTTACGGCTTTTGTTGTGTCCAGGATCACGACCCGCCCGTCTACCAACTGTGCTCCAAATAACAAGATTTCATGAAGTTTATGTAACATAACCAATTCACAGAGTTTATGATTCAGTGAGTTCAGAAGTCATTCCAAGCAAATAATTCTATTTTCTGTCATATCTTCTTCTAACGCTCCACCAGGAGATTCACAAAGCTATAAGTTCGAAAGAACTTTACAGTGAAAGGATTCACAACGATTCTTAGACTAAACAACAATGAAGAATTCTGAAAAGAGGGAATAAAATGGAGAAGGGAGTTTATACCTGGCCGTTTAGTTCTAATAAAGCCTTTGCGGCTTCTTCTTTAGAAAAGAATGTGACATAAGCAAACCCTTTTGGTCTACATCTGACTTTGTCCATTATAACATCCACTGAAGCAACCAAAAAGGTGAAGAAGACAAAGAGATTTGTAAGTGAATCTGTGTCACAAAACGTGAAAAACTAACTGCCGTTGAGATTAAGAGGCTCACCTCTGAGAACTTGACCATATTGAGAAAATGCTTGGGTTAATGTTTCTTCTGTGCTTGAGAAAGATATGCCTAGAACAAACAAAGCCTTCGATTTAGTGATATTAAAACAAGAAATCACTGAAACTCAGATAAGAAGAAGAAGCTCAGGAGATCTGCCCCAAAAATAAACGATGCTTTTACATCTAAAGTTTGAAACTTTTAAGATTGGGAAGACAATGTGGGGCGCTTAAACGGCAAATCGACACAAATAGATAGAGCAGAAACTAATACCAAATCAAAATAGTGGTCACAGCCTATTCTCACCAAACGCAACTTTCGCTAAATTGAAGAAAAAAAGTCTTTGATTCAGTGACAGTAACACAAGAAATTACTGAAACTCAGATAAGGAGAAGAAGCTCATTAGATCTGCCCCAAACGAGGATGCTTTTAGATCTAAAGTTTGAAACTTAAAGATTGGGAAGACAATGTAGGGCGCTTAAACGGCAAATTCACACATACAGACACATCAGAAACCAATACCAAATCAAAATTGAAAACAAAGCAATAATTTCACCAGACGCAACTTTCACTACAATTGAAAACAAAGCCTTCGATTCAGTGACAGTAACACAAGAAATTCACTGAGACTAAGATAAGAAGAAGCTCATGAGATCTGCTCACAACTGGAAGATGCTTTTACATCTAAAGTTTGAAAATTTATGATTGGTAAAGATAATGTGTGGCGCTTAAGAGGCAAATTCACACATACAGACACAACAGAAACCAATAGCAAATCATAATAATGGTTATAGCATAATCTCACCAGACGCAAACTTTGGCTAAAACTTGAAAACAAAGCCTTCGATTCAGTGACAGTAACAAAAGAAGTCATTGAAACGAAGATTAGAAGACAAAGCTCATAAGATCTCAAGAAAGAGAAAGATGATGCTTTTACATCGAAAGTGTGAAACTTCAAGATAAACCTTATTGGTACGACAATGTGTGGCATCAAAAACAACATCAAATCAAAAACTCTATCCCTAAGAATTGGTAATTACAGCATATACACGTACATACATACACAACATCAAATCAAAATAGTGGAAATTTCTCGATTCAAGGAATTAGCAATCAAGAAATGGGAAATCAGATTCGTGGACGTTGGAGTAAGCATCAGATAATCCGAGAGACCTAGTCGCTGAAATTAACAGAGAGAGAGGGAAAATGACCTTTGACGAAAAGTGTAGAGGAGAAGGGTCTCGAGAAGAGTAGAGAAGGAGTGAGAGAGCGATAGAGCAATTGGTTTAGCATTTTTGTTTATTAGGGTTTAGGAGGCTGTTTGCCGCAATCTCACCGCCGGCGAAGCCACGAACTGTAAGTTGTTCTTCAGGATTCGTCTCACCAATTATTCTTCCGTCCATTATTTGTTTTTACCACCATAGTAAGTTAATAGAGTAATCAACAAGCTTTAGAATAAAGTTTATTGCTTTAGTTTTGAAGATTTTATTTGGTGATCACTCTTTTTATCGAGTATTATCACTCAACTCAATGACCATGGATAATGTCAATTAGGTGATACTTTCTGACACAATTTTTTACAGTATTTTTAAATGGGAGTTTACTTAATACTCTTTTTTAATATCTATTTTTATCTTTAATACTCTTTTTTAATATCTATTTTTATCTCTTTTTCTATTTTTTTTCTCTGACAAACGAAAATAAATACATCAAATGAGCTATTACAAACTTTAAGATTAGAACAATCAATAAAACACAAAAAAGAGTACCACAAATCTCATATTTTCACGAATCTCTTTAGTACATTCGTCTCTATGTGCTAATAATGTCTCTATGTGCTAATAATGCCTCTAACAATGTTATCATGTTAACTTTGCAATTATATTCGTAAATATACTGTATAAATTGAAAGTTAACATAAATATTATCTTAACAAAGTTAATACAAATACTATTCAGATTTACTATATATTAACATGTTATAAGTATCAGATATTTTTGTTATCACATTATAATTATCGAATATTATTGTTAGCACGTTACAAATATCATATATTATTATTATCACGTTAACATATATAATTATTATCATGTTAAATATGTTAACGAATAATATATAACGTGTAATTATTGGTAACATGTTAATATAATAATTGTTAGCATGTTAACAACATGTTTTTGGTAATGAATAGTTATTTTCGAATCAGAAGAACAATAACATCGATCAGATGATATACAATGTCATCATTTTATTCTATCAAAAAATCAGTTTCTAAACCAGTGACATTCTTTTTAATTATTTAAACTAAGAAAGGTGTTTTTTGGGATACATTTTTTTTTCTTTCCTATTTTACTAATTTTCAAATAAACTTTCTTACACCTAATTTTTTAGACAACCATGGTTATATATTAAAATCACTCTTTTTTATTTTTGTTTTCGAATGTGATATTTTTGTCACATGTCTCTTCAAAATTTGATGCTCACACGCTTTGTTATCAAGTCATGCATTCTCGTCTTCTTCGTTAAGGTTTTGAAATTACTTCGACATTTTTTCTCTGTCGTTTCTTCTTCCCTTCCCTCAATCATACGAAAATCATTTCGCTTTACTTTTCTCATCCAAGCATTCTTACGGTAAAATCTACCAGGAGAAAGATCGACACAAATGAGTGCGAAATTGGGTCTTATTGGCATTGGCTCTCTTTCATGGTAAGCGGCTTAGACTCTAGAAATAGCTTGTTTCTTCGATTTGATCGATCAATCAACCAACTACTAAAGTATTTCATGCATTCATTCTCCGTTTCAACAAAATCTTTTATCATCCATTATGGGTTCACAACGAGTGCACCGATTATGGTGCTTCTATTGATCAATTTCGAGTATTTTTGTTCCCAAGGACTGAGTATGACAGAGAAGTCTAACATTTATCTCCAAGGCCGTCTATTTCAGGTTGACTACGCCACTGAAGCCACTAAGGTAATTTCTCGATTATTGTAGCCACTGAAGCTACTAAGGCTGTCAATTTCAGGAGTTTTCCTTTGTTGAGGAAGAGCGAGAATCAAACTTAGAGTTTTAAAAATTTTTTTGTTTCTTAGCCATATCTGGTGTTAGTGTGCTATGTTGGGACATGTGTAGATTGGGTGTGTGCACTTGTGTATCCATTGATTCTCGACGCTTTTGAATTGTTGTAGCTTGGTTCTACTGCAGTTGACGTAAAGACAAAAGAAGGAGTTGTTCTTGAAGTCGAGAAGCCAATCACATCGCCTGTGCTGGTAAATTTCCTTTTTGCGACTTGTCTTTCTATTATAACACACTTGCTATGTTCAGCAAAACCCAAATGGCTGATTCCGATTCATTTAACTATCCAGTGTAAGCATCTAAGAAGTAATCTTGTGTTTTTATGTGCCTTTATTGGAATCTTCCACATCACAAACCTAATCTTAGTTTGGCATGAGTGATAGGGGTATATAACAAAAGTAAAATCATTTTAAGCTTAACAATAATAATAATTAGTCACTACTTTTTCTGTCTCTTTTTTGTTCTTTAGGAGCCATGATTGTCACTACTTCCTTTTCTGAATTTTAGTTTGGCTTATAAAGTTTCTGTCTATTCATCTGTCCGACGCAATATCAATTGGTGAGTCATGTTTTTTTCTTTCTTTTAGTGCTGAAACTGTTTTAGCTTGTCCTTAATGTATTCATTGTTTTCGTTGTTATATATCTCCCACGCTAATCATCTTCACTTAGAAACCGAGTAGTACTCAGGAACAGATTCAACCATCTCCACGCATACTAAAGGTTAGTGTCTGACTTGCCAATTTTTATTTCAGTCTACACAATCTACACTTAATTCTGCAATCTTCTTTGCTCCACTTCTGCCTGCTTTTACATTCATCAAATCTTATACCTTAGACTTTCTAAATAACCCAAACCTCTCAGGATGGTCAAATATATTTTCTTATCGTTAATACCTTATCTATCATGTATTTTGAACATCCTATTTCCTTGTGCTGATTAAGATTCTACTCCTTTATACTTTTCAGGTAAAACTTCTTCCAAAAAGAAAGTTTGTAGCAAAGGCATGCTTCCTGAACTATAGAAAGAGGAAAAGGTGTACATATTTTAAATCCTTCGTGTGATAAGAAACCATGTCTTACATATGATTTGACACTAAAGTACCTTTATTTATAGCACAAGGGAAAAAGAAAGATCCCACGACCCAACTTATTGAGGGAATGATATTCACTTGTCATGGGCTTGGCATCAACCAATTCTTACCACGGTAACGTCTCCAGATTTTCACTTTAGTTTATCCATAGTTTCAAATGCTTATAATTCTAATCATCAAAATGTATGCTGTAGTTTGCCTTATCGGTAAAATATGTCTGCATGATACATCAATTGGCTGAGACAACCAACAAGAACAGACAAGCAAGGTAAGTTTTCTTTTCTCAAATCTCTTTTTGGCATCGTCCATTAACTAAAACTCCTTCCAACCCATCATAAACCGTTTATCTACTCATCATTATCTACACAAGGTACTGTTTAAACTGAAGCTAAAGTTATAACAGAGCTGTAAAAATGTGGAGATTCTCTAATATCCTAAAACATCTTCATGGGCCAGAAAGCGTCTCTGAAAACTTGGATCAGATGTACAGTCTTTTGAAAACTAGAGAACAAAGGTGACCTTGCAAAAATGTTATTCTCGTGAATCATGTGTCTTACAGAAAATTTCAATTACTTGATTTGCATAAACTTTTTTTTTATCAGATTTAAACACAAAATGGGGAATGTAAAGCTTCTCAACCTTGGAATACGGTAGCTCTCCTTTTCGAAGTCTTTAAAACGCAGTCGAGGAGTAAATTTAGCCCTTCCAATCCTCTACATGCATGCTGAAGCAAGTCAATGTACTTATTTGTACTCGGGTACATGTTTTATTATTGATTCTCATGAGGAATAAAGTTACAAGTGAGTTATCTATCTATATGCTTATTTGTGTAGTGATTTTCTTACGTGTAGCGCTCTCAACGATTTTTACAGTGTTTCGCTTACGTGTCAACTTTAGAATGAGTTTTGGCTGGAAAAAAAAAATAATTTTTACTACATTTATCAATTATATGTCATTTTTTATTGGTTTTTATCTGATGATGTATTAAAAATAACTTAAAACAAATCGTTCTAAATTATTGTAGTTTAATGTTTTATTTCGCTGCCAAATCAAACTGTCTCTCAAAATAATACATTTACATTTACTTAAGTTAAAAAAAATAATACATTTACAAAAAATGTAAACTTCATAACCTAAATTATTAATAAATATCTATCTTAAACTTTCATGTTCAATCTCATAAAGTCCTATGACATTTCCATTATAAAATCTCCATCTTAATTCATATTTTGGTCGATTACATCCATCTTCTAAAAAATTTATTTTGAAAAAAAATACATAAAAGAGCTTTGGAAGCCTCTTTGGATGATAACGAATTATATTTGTTTCTAGGATAAACAAAACCAACAAGTTATTTTAAGAAAAGTCACAACTCACAACTAACTATAGCTCAGCAACTTAATTGGTGAGCAAAACAAAATAAGTGGAGAAAAATTTAGGTAATTTTCACAAAAGAAGACAGAACAATCAAAATTAACAATATATAAGCTTTAAAAAAACCACATTTAAACTAAAAAAAACCAGTATATATAAAAAATGTAAACTTCATAAGCTCTAAAGTGAACAAGTAAGAGCATCTGAATATCCATATGTCTTTCATTGATATAATAATTTTTTTTTGTCAACAGCCTAAGTGCCTAAAATGTTTTGGCTAACCAAACCGGTGTCACCGAATTTACATAGATAATATCATGAGTGTAGATCCGAGCACTTCTTGCTAGGTTCTCTGTCTTCGTGTTATTCGCTCGTGGAATATGTGATAATATGAAAAAGCTGAACTTATCTTTCATCTTCACAATCTCCTCCAAGTGTAGAGCAAATGCTGGCTATTCTTCCGGTATAGACAACATCTTCACCAACTCCGAACAGTCTGTTGCAAATGCTACCGCCAACTTCTGATTCTCTAACATGCAATGTATAACCCATATGAGGGCTTCCACCTCCGCATGTAAAAGCGTTAAACTTTGGCGTACATTTTGTGCACCCATTATTTTGTCCCGGCTACCATTATTCCTCCAATGGTGAGATACTCATAAAATCTCTCACTAATATAGTATAAATATTTTCAAAATTATTTTAATAATTTTTTTTAAGTTTTATATCAAAAATAATTTTTTAGACTTTTCAAGATTCATTTTAAATATAAATAATTACATTAATTAATTATATTAATTTATAAACTTAATAATAATAAAATTGAAAATATATATTAGACATTTTCTATTAAAATATGACAAATAAATTAGGTTTTATTTTTTCAAATATCAAAATATTGACTAAAAATATATCACAAAAACATAGATCACAATATAATTTTATTTAGAAAAATATCAGTTTTTTCATTAATATATATTAATCAAAACAATAGTAATGTAATATTTTATATCAAATTTATCTAATTTTAGTTAAAATAATATTAATATAATTTAAACTTATGCATAATGGAATTTGATAGATAGATAGAATTATTTTATGATTTTTAGAAAAATAAAAAATAAAATTCTATAAATGATTTAGTTAGGATTTTAAATTATGAAATATTTGGTTTATTGAAAATATGTTAATCTTATATATAAAAGTTGGCTAACTTTTTTCAGCTGCTTGCCACATCAGCACTGGTGAAAGCGCCATCTGTCTATTTAAAATCTTAATGAAATAAACAATTAATCACATTTAAAGAAAAAGCATTAAAGAACATTAATAAATATTAATATGTATAACAAATGTATTTAAATAAATAAATTCAAATTTATTTTAAATATATCAAAACTTATAAATATTATATAATATAAGACTTTTTGAAATACATCATTCCATTTCTTCTTTCCAAGTGATTTAAACTACATTTTCAAACTAAAAGTATAATTAAATTTTATGAAAGTGAAAAAAAAATTATCAGACTCAATAAGTTAAGAAGTTTTAATAATCTTATATAAAACTCTAACTAATAAAATTATAACACACAAAAAATATTCAATAAATAATTAAAGAGATAAAAAATTATTAGAAAATAATAGTAAAAAAAAAGTGGATACATAAAAATGCCATACAAAGTTTTTTAGTAATTTTTAAAAAGATGTAATCAATAAAATATATATAACCAAAAAAACTCAAAATGGTAAATTTTTCTATGAACTATTACGTTTTTAATATATAAATTAAAATAGTAGATCTTTAGTCCCTCATTACTGTAGGAGAAAAATTGGATTATTTGGTACAACCGGTGTAGAAGAGATTACAAATAATTTGTCATCTAGAAGAAATCAGAAAATATAAATATTTTAAACGAAAAAAACATTGATGGTAAAAATAAAATTCAATACAAATTCTAAAAATGTATTATTTAAAATATAAATTAAAACAAGATCCGCGCATATGCGTGAATTCTCTCCTATTCTATTTATAAAATAACAAGTGTATGAGAGAGAATATCTCTAGAAAGTATCTCATTTGAAAAACGTTTCTCAGTAATTTAGATTAAAATATTTTTTTTTTATTTTCTTTTAATAGGAGTCTCTCATTGAGAGATTACATTGGAAGTGCTCTAAGTTCATCACAAAACTCTCAAACTCAAAATTGTAATCACAAAACCTCCAAACTTTCTAATTGGATTTTTTATACACATTTTCATTAAAATCTAGAAAATCACGTTTGCGTTTTAAAAATAATATTTATATAATATGCAATCTAACTAAATATCTGATCCGGTCCAATATTAAAATAACCCGACCATTCTCATTACTATTGAGTCAAATAACACAAGCAATAGACATCAAAACAAAATTTCATTCAAAATAACGAATTTCTATATTTGCAAAACAACATTTGACATATGATAAAATCGTGATAAAACCTAAAATCATTTTAACTGATCCCTATGAACCCAAGAGACATAATGAATTCCAAAAAAGATTTGATCAATCAGGTATTAGTGAAAAATCTAACAAAGTCAAGATGAAATAAGAGAAGTATATTTTGGGAGAATATCCATCATTGGAAGTTGAGAGAAACTTTGATTAATATATAAATGACTTGGATCAATTAACTCAAAACCAATTAGCAATGAGTGATTGGTCCAAATCTCTTATATATTATTCAAAGTTTAGTTGGCAACTCAAATTTAATATCTAGTGAAAAATCTAACAAAATCAATATGAAATAACAGAAGTATCTTTTGTGAGAATATCCATCATCGGAAGTTAAGAGAAACTTTGATTAATATATAAATGACTTGGATCAATCAACTCAAAACCAATTAGCAATTAGTGGATTGGTCCAAGTCTTTTATATGCTCTTGCTCAAATTCAATAGGGACAAACAGAAAATTATTTGCGAATGAGAGTGGTAGGGAAGGATTTTAGCAACCACAAGTGGATTTCCTATGGCTCCTCAATATCATAGTGAAGAAGTTGCTTGCTCTGTCTGCCTCTCATACACCAGCTGCAAAACGTATGGGTTGTTGGGGTCGGTTTCACCCCAAACATTTTAACCATCTCAAAAATGACTAAGTATCTGAGAAAACCGAGTTGCAGTAAAAGACAAACGAAGGGGCCGAATCCATAAGGGAGAGGAGTAATTGGGACGAGCCCTGCAGAGGGGTAATCGTGCCGAGCTACGCAAGAGAGGATACGGGCCGAGCTGAGCTGCATCACAGATGGATTGGGCCGAGCCTTGTTAGGGAGCCACTGGGCCGAGCTGTATCGTGAGGTATGGGCCGAGCCGCACTTCAACAGGACTGGGCCGAGCCGCGCCTCGGTGAGTTAGGCCAAGTCGCGTCTTAACTCGAATAGCAAGTGGGCCGAACCGTAGAGAAGGATAGATGGGCCGAGCTATGAGAAGAACGGAGAACGGGCCTAGCAGCGCGAGAGGAGCGCGAGAGGAAGCATGGCCGAATCGCTTCCCTTTGTGTTGGGCCGAGCCGGGTTTCCAAGATGGGCCGAACCAAGGCTTTGGAAGACGAAAGCCCACAGAAGCCCTAAGCGAAGTACTATGACGGTGGCCGCACGAAGCGATAAGGAAACATTCCTAAAATCTCTCCCGAGATTCTCGGCTAGGCGGTTTAAGATGTTATTATAAATAGGAGATCTCTACGATTCATTATTTAACTTTGGCAACCCTAAGCAATATAAGACCTAAACACTTTCACAGCAATAAAAATCCTCTTTTGATCTTATTGTTCTTGCGATTACCCTAGAAGTTTCGGATCCCTTAGTTTTTCCTTACAAATTTTTGGTTGTGCGAGTTTTGGCTCACACAATTTGGCGCCGTCTGTGGGGAACATCGAAACTTTCTTACTCTAAATCGAAAAAACTTTAAGATCTGAAGAACATGACGAGCAACACCCCCGACGATAACAACAACAACAGCAACAATGGTAACGGCACGGAGAAGGACGCCTTGTTAGGGAGCCACTGGGCCGAGCTGTATCGTGAGGTATGGGCCGAGCCGCACTTCAACAGGACTGGGCCGAGCCGCGCCTCGGTGAGTTAGGCCAAGTCGCGTCTTAACTCGAATAGCAAGTGGGCCGAACCGTAGAGAAGGATAGATGGGCCGAGCTATGAGAAGAACGGAGAACGGGCCTAGCAGCGCGAGAGGAGCGCGAGAGGAAGCATGGCCGAATCGCTTCCCTTTGTGTTGGGCCGAGCCGGGTTTCCAAGATGGGCCAAACCAAGGCTTTGGAAGACGAAAGCCCACAGAAGCCCTAAGCGAAGTACTATGACGGTGGCCGCACGAAGCGATAAGGAAACATTCCTAAAATCTCTCCCGAGATTCTCGGCTAGGCGGTTTAAGATGTTATTATAAATAGGAGATCTCTACGATTCATTATTTAACTTTGGCAACCCTAAGCAATATAAGACCTAAACACTTTCACAGCAATAAAAATCCTCTTTTGATCTTATTGTTCTTGCGATTACCCTAGAAGTTTCGGATCCCTTAGTTTTTCCTTACAAATTTTTGGTTGTGCGAGTTTTGGCTCACACAATTTGGCGCCGTCTGTGGGGAACATCGAAACTTTCTTACTCTAAATCGAAAAAACTTTAAGATCCGAAGAACATGACGAGCAACACCCCCGACGATAACAACAACAACAGCAACAATGGTAACGGCGCGGAGAAGGACGCTCCGGCATCAGGCACAACGACGACAGCGACCGAAACCCAAGAGGAGATGGGAAACATGATGGCCGCGTTGATGAGGAAAATCGACGAGCAGGACAAAAGAAAACGAGGCGATTACGGAGAGGCTCGACGCGATGGCGGTTGAACGACAACACCAAACTTGGAGAGCCAGAATTCCCGACCCGATGGATGGAATCCGGAGACGCTTCGACTTCTCAACGCCTGCAGAGGCCTCGGGGAGCGGTGCGAGAAACCCCTTGGCTCCACCAATGTTTTGTCCCCTCGGCGAACAGACTCCCGCGGCAAGCCGAGTCAACATGACCGAGCCGCCTCCACTCCGTCGGAACCCAAGGCGACGAGCCTGAGAAGAGGAGAATGACGCGATTGACATGGACGCCCAGCAGAACGATGGAACCACGAACTCGCAACAGAACGGCTCGGCTCGGCGAATAAGCCAAGAAGAGCTCACCTCGGCACTAAACGGCGTTCGTATTGACGAAATCACTGATCCGGCTCGCGGCGACAACCCGAATGAAGAAGAAGAAAACCTCCAATGGATCGAGCAGGCGGAGCGCGAAGACGAGCCGAGGAGAGAAGAGCGGGAGAGACCTCTCCAATCAAAGTGAATGACTCACGCGCAAACTCTCGAAATCAAAGAGCTGCGAGCCTCAATGGCTCGGACAGTACCTGAAATACGCGCCATGAAGTCTCAAGTGCACAATGCGACGAGCGCTGCGCCCGAGATCGATCGGATGCTTGAAGAAACCCAGAGAACACCATTCACGGCAAGAATCACGGAGGCCAGGATTCCCAAGCCCGGGAAGGTGAGAATCCTGTTCTACGAAGGAACAACCGATCCGAAAGCACACATCACAGCGTTTCGGATAGCAATGGGACGAGCCTTCACCAAGAATGCTGCCAAACTGACCGAGCGGGAAGTAGATGCCGGATACTGCCTGCTCTTTGTGGAGCATCTTAAGGGAGCCGCGCTCGAGTGGTTTTCGAGGCAGGATCGCAACTCAATCGGTAGTTTTCAAAAGCTCTCCGCCCTGTTCCTTAAACAATACTCGATGTTTATGGATAGAGGAACTTCTGATGCCGACCTGTGGACGCTATCCCAAGGACCGAACGAACCACTTCGAGATTACATGGCAAGATTCAAGGCAGTCGTATCCAAAATAGAAGGGATAAGCGACAAGGCTGCGCTCGAATCTCTGAAACGATCTTTGTGGTACAAATCCGAGTTCCGACGGGAGATGGCACTCAACACGCCACAGACGATTCAAGATGTTTTGCGCCGGTCATCAGACTTCGTCGTAAACGAGGAGGAGATGAAGAATTTGGACGAGCAGTACGAAGCAACGAAAGCAGCAATCCGAAGCTCAATTTTGACGCGCCCCTCGAAGAAAGGCAACCCATCGAACAACACAACAACGCAGAGCTCGGACGAACCTAGAAGCGGAGGTGCCCATAATTACCAAGCGGAAGAGGAGAGCCGCACAACAACACTTGGGTAAAAAAGTCCGCCAACTACGACGAGAAGGCTTTCTGCGAGTATCACCAGACCTACGGGCATTCAACGGCACAATGTCGAACGTTAGGAGCAAAAATCACGGCTAAGATGGCAGCAGGAGAGCTCCAGGACGCGGTCAACCTCAAAGACCTCGTCTCTAATGAACCACAAGAAAGAGCCGAGCCGAGCGGCGCGGCAGAACCCACAAATCCTCCCCGACGAGGCGATAACTCCAAGCGCGACAGGAGAGGCGAACCCGAAGAGCGACCCGAGCCGAGGCAAAGGATCAATATGATCATGGGTGGATCTAAATACTACCAAAATACCGTGTCCTCCATCAAAGCCTATCAACGTCGAGCCGAAGCGAAGGAGAATTAGACAGAACCGACCAACATCCCGAATACAGTGATGCCGAGGAGGAAACGGCAGGAATCGATAGACCCCACAATGATCCGCTGGTGATTGAGTTAACAATCAGGGATCATGATGTGGCGAGGGTGCTCATCGATACCGGAAGCTCGGTGAACGTCATCTTCAGGGAGACACTCAGGAGAATGGGAATCGACCTCTCCGAGGTGATAGCGATCCCCAAACCTCTAACCGGATTTTCAGGAGAAACGACGATGACTATGGGAATAATCAGGCTCCCTGTGGTAGCTGGCGGAGTCACTAAGATTGTCGAATTCTGCGTCACCGATCACCCAACAATCTACAATGTGATTATGGGAACTCCATGGATCAACGGGATAAGGGCGGTCCCCTCCACCTATCATATCTGCCTCAAGTTCCCGACTCCAGGGGGTGTCAAAACGATCTGGAGGAATCAGAAGGAGTCACGAATGTGCTGCCTAGCAGAGCATAAGCTGAGGAACCCCGTCACCGACGCACGAGCAGACTAAGATCCCAAGAAGATGAAGACAGACCGAGAGCCTGCGAACGAGCTCTCGAAACTCTTATAGCAATTACAGATCGCGGAGAGCCGCGAAACACGCACCGAGCCGGTATGTGATGCGGTGGACTCGGTGTGCATAGACGAGGCGCGTCCAGAACGATGCGTCGAAATTGGAGCAAAACTGGAATAGCCTCTGAGAAGAAAACTTCTTTCCATCCTTAAGGAGAACATCAACACTTATGCCTGGACAGCAGAAGATATGCCAGGCATAAGCATCGAAGTAACCTGTCACGAGCTGAACGTGGACCCAACCTTCAAACCAATCAAGCAAAAAATAAGAAAGCTCGGCCCCGAACGAGCAAAAGCAGTCAACGACGAAGTGGAGAGATTACTCAAAGTAGGATCAATCGCCGAGGTCAAATATCCAGACTGGCTCGCGAACCCGGTGGTTGTGAAAAAAAAGAACGGCAAGTGGCGGGTCTGTGTAGATTTCACTGACCTCAACAAGGTGTGCCCAAAAGACAGTTTCCCTCTGCTGCATATTGACCGGCTCGTCGAAGCCAATGCAGGAAATAGGTTGTTAACATTTATGGACGCGTTCTCCGGCTACAATCAGATCGTGATGCATCCTGAGGATCGGGAAAAAATGGCATTCATAACTGATCGCGGGATATACTGCTACAAAGTCATGCCGTTTGGGCTCAAGAACGCAGGGGCAACATATCAACGACTCGTCAATAAAATGTTCGCGGCTCAGCTCGGAAAAACCATGGAGGTATACATCGACGACATGTTAGTCAAATCACTAAAAGAGGAAGACCACATCGCGCATCTACGGGAATGCTTCGAGCAATTGAACAAGCACAACATGAAACTAAACTCGGCGAAGTGCAGATTTGCAGTCACCTCGGGAAAATCCTCGGCTATCTGGTAACTCACCGAGGCATAGAAGCAAACCCCAAGCAGATCAAGGCATTAATCGAAATGCCCTCTCCAAGGACGAAGCGCGAAGTGCAGAGGCTCACAGGAAGGGCCGCTGCGCTAAACATGTTTATTTTCCGTTCTACCGACAAGTGCCTGCCTTTCTACGACACCTTTCGAGGAAACAAGAAATTCGAGTGGGACGAGCGATGCAAAGCAGCTTTCCAAGAATTAAAGAATTATCTGGCGAGCCCACCGATTTTAGCAAAACCAGTCGAAGGAGAGCTGCTCTTCCTCTATATCGCCGTATCGGCTACTGCTGTGAGTGGAGTGCTTATCAGAGAAGAACGGTCTGAGCAAAACTCATTTTCTACGTCAGCCAGACACTGACCGACGTCGAGACCCGCTACCCCCAGATCGAGAAGGTCGCCCTAGCCGTCGTAGTCTCGGCTCGCAAACTGTGCTCGATTGTTGTGCTCGCTACACTTCCGCTGCGCTCGATCCTACACAGCCCGAGCCAATCCGGTCGGCTCGCCAAGTGGGCCATAGAGTTGAGCGAATACGACATCGAGTATCGAACAGGTCATCTGCAGAGTCACAGGTGCTCGCAGATTTTCTCATCGAACTCCCAGCCGAAGCAACGAACGAGCCAACCCCAGATGAAGTATGGACGCTGCACGTCGACAGCTCGTCATCTAAACACGGCTCAGGAATAGGAATCCGCCTCACCTCTCCCACATGAGAGATATTGGAGCAGTCGTTTCGCCTAAACTTCCACGCCTCGAACAACGAAGCAGAATACGAAGCATTGATCGCCGGTATACGGCTAGCGCAGGAAATCAGAGTTCGAAAGATAAGAACCTTTTGTGACTCACAGCTCGTAGCATGTCAGTTCACCGGGAGTACGAGGCGAAGGATGGACGAATGGGAGCTTACCTCAAGGTGGTCCGAGAGTTAGTGCAGAAGTTCGACGAATTCGAGCTCACACGAATACCCCAAGGAGAAAATACCTCGGCCGACGCCCTGGCAGCACTTGCTTCGACCTCAGACCCGGATCTCCGACGGACGATCCCAGTCGAGTTCATCGAACGTCCTAGCATCAAAGAGGTAGAAGGAATTCGGCTGATAAATTCTCCCGAACGAGAACCGGAAGACGACGAAGACATTCCTGTGGACGATGACGCCTTACCAGCCGAGCCGGAGTACGGCTGCGACAAAGAATGACTCAGAGCCATCCGAGTATATATCGCCGATGGAGAAGTACCAACCGAAAAGTGGGAAGCCCACAAATTAAAAGCTCAGGCCGCGCGGTATGTCCTCGTCGACGGCGAGGTGTTTAAATGGAGATTTTCAGGAACTCTCATGACATGCGTCGAAGGACCGGAGGCAAGAAAGATCATGCACGAAGTGCACAGCGGCGCGTGCGGAAACCATTCTAGCGAAAGGTCGCTCGCGATCAAGATAAAATGGCACGGTTATTTCTGGCCTACAATGGTCAAGGACTGCGAGAAATTTACGGCGAAGTGCGAGAAGTGTCAACGGCACACTCCAATAATTCATCAACCTACCGAGCTGCTCTCATCAATTTCGTCACCTTACCCATTCATGAGATGGTCGATGGACATAGTCGGACCTCTACATCGATCGAAGCAGAAGCGTTTTCTGCTCGTCCTCACGGATTATTTTTCCAAGTGGGTCGATGCCGATTCCTACGCAAGCATAAAGGATGTCCAAGTCGAATACTTCATCTGGAAAAATATCATCTGCAGACACGGGGTCCCCTACGACAACGGATCCCACTTCATCTCAACGTGCTTTGAAGCCTTCTGCGAGAAGTGGAAAATCCGTCTAAGCAAATCTACGCCAAGATACCCTCAAGGGAACGGACAAGCTGAAGCAGCCAACAAGACGATCCTAGACGGTCTGAAAAAGAGGTTCGACGCAAAGAAATGACGATGGGCAGACGAAGTCGAAGGAGTCCTTTGGTCGCATCGAACGACTCCGCACCGAGCCACCAGAGAAATTCCATTCGCTTTAGTCTACGGAGCGGAATGCGTAATTCCCCCCGAGGTGGATTTCCCAGGTATTCGACGAAGACTTCTACCAGAACAGGAGGGCTTGAACCATTTAATGATGCTGGATGAGCTCGATCTAGTCAACGAAAGGCGCGACCAGGCTTTAATCCGAATCCAGAACTATCAACAAGCAACGGCGAGATACTACAACAAAAACGTTCGTAGTCGAAGATTCAAAGAAGGAGAACTCGTCCTTCGAAAGGTTTTCCAAAACACTGCCGAGAAGAATGCAGGAAAGCTCGGAGCAAACTGGGAAGGTCCTTACAATATTACAAAAGTAGTTCGCCCAGGAGTCTACGAGCTCGCGACGCTAGCTGACGAAGCGATTCCAAGATCATGGAATGCAATGCACCTAAAGAAGTATTATCACTAAAGCTACAGCACGGTCAACATGAACTACGGGACGGCTTGATCCCTGCAAAAGGTACGTAGGCAGCCCGTCCTCGGACGGGTTCAGCTGTCCCCCCTCTTAAAAAGGGGGGGGGGAGTGGGTACGTATACACATACCTTCTTTTAACTCTGCAATTTTAGCTCACCTACTTAGGAACATTGCCACTTCGGCCCATTTTCAGTTCGTTTTAAATCATCTACTTATTTCACGTTCACCTCAGAATTCTGGTTCGTTCATTATCGCTTCGGCTAGTTTCTCTTTCTTTTCAAATCAGCAACTTATTTCATAATTCGCCTCGGATTTTTAATTCTTTTACTCATCACTTCGGCGAGTGATCATATCACTTCGACATGTTATCATGACTTGATCGTCTCGGACATTTTACTTGCCCTCACTTTCAGATTGGCAAACTAAGTCTCCAAACGCCTCGTCTCGTTGCTGGCCACAACGGGACAACAAATACAAAGTTCTCTAAACGGACTTTTACCACCTTTCCTAGGACGAGGGTGCAAGTTACATCTTCTATGGGTAAAAATTAAGCGCGCTATACAAATATCAGACCAAAAACGTATCGGTCGCCACAGTTTACTATCGCACACGAGATTATAAGTCGAGACTACATCGCTTTCTCTAAAACTGAAGTAAACTCTTAAAACCCGGCAAAACACTCTCATCCTCTCGGAAACACCGGTCTATAGTCATATTCAACGAGACTACTATATCCT